TGCAACCGGATTTACAAACTCGCCGTACATGTTGGTGGTCATAGTGGCGCTGGTAGCGAGACGTTCTCGCTTGCGCCATTTGGCACGCCGGTTCTGAAACCACACCTGGACTCGAGCCTCGGTAAGGCCTGTTCGCAACGCAAGCTGCTCCCGAGCGTAGACGTCTGGATAATGGGTTTTCTAGACCTATGTTATGAGGGGAAGGGCGAAGATGGTACCTGAAAAATGCGTTCCATTTCGCTGAGTTGAAAACTGGTGAAAGTTGTGCGATTACGCCGTTTTTTCTGCTTCTCACCCGAGTTACAGATCCCACCGCTGAGAATTGAGGAGTCGACCCGGTGGGCGTAAGTGTGATGTGTCTTTGGAAGCAAAACAGACAACAACTGATGACGTTGGACACTGACTTACCTCTGATTGGACTGGACAGATTTGACTGTTTTGAGTAAAATCAAAATGTACTTGTTCGTTACCATTCCGGTAAGCCAAGAGTTCATCTGTTGTACGAGACAAGAAATAAAAGAACTCAGAATGTGACTGCAGAATTTCGGCATTGCAAAGGAAGTTAAGGACGAAGTGTTAGGATAAAATAGTTCAGTATATCTGCGGATAATAGGCAATGCCTTCGAAAATGACAAGTGTGGAGTTCCTATTAGCAGCAGTCTGAATGTTGTCTAACCTTTTCAGGTGTTGGCCAAAACTGGTTCTACGACAATTATAGCAAAGATAAATCAGTATGACCCATTTGTGAAAACTTCGGTGGCCTCGGTGGGATTCGGACCCACGGCAGCAAGAAGAAGGCTTTAGTACTGCCAATGCTCTAGCCAGCTGAGCTGCGAGGTCCCACCGAGGGCCGTGAGTTTAATCAGACTTCGATCAATGTGCCCGCCCAGCCCACTGCAACGCATAGAAGTCATCAGTTCTAATGCAGGAAACTGACTGCCTAAGCCAATCATCTAGAATCGGCCAAATGACTACCAGCTGCACTTACTTGTTAGAGGCTTTTGGCAGATTCGGATTCCATACGTTTCATTAGGCTGGACGGATCAGCTGACCTAAATGTGACTGAACTCAGGACCCCCAGT